CATATTATTATACAAATATCAGTCACATTTAACATTTACCATAATAAGGGTTTTATTCACTGATCTACCGCAGGGCAAATATGTTTTTTATATTTAAGTCCGGAGTCTTTTCAATAATTGAAATAGAGCCTAAAAGCTACCACGATAAGGCTCATTTCATGCTAACAAGCTAAATATAGCTCAATAATGTCTTTATACAAATATGAATAATATTCAAAAGCAATAGGGTTCATTTTACAAAATAATAATAGAGAATTGTTTAATGTAAAAAAACAGCTGAGAGTAACGCATCAGTATAGTGTGAAATGTTAGGGCCAGTCGTTAAAAGCTCATTTCGCAATTCACTAACGCTGTCATTAGTTGTTACCACACGGTACCGCCGTATTTAACAGCGTGAAATAATAATCAAAAGCCGTCGAAGCCTGCCACTCCTATAGGTATGACATTAGGCAGTTGCATAGTCACATATGTGTTATTTTTAACAGCCTACCATTTAACAAAGCAATGTTGAAAGCAACTTGAAAGTATACTTTGTTAGTGAATTCAAATTCCTCGTCTATACAATTATGACGCTTCTGTATTTATGTGTATTTATTTATTTATATATGTGTGCATACTAGTATCTACGATTAGTATGTAATAATCTAAAATGAATTGATTATTGTTTTAAACTCCAATCTTTACATAGGCATACTCAAAAGTAATAATGGCCCACCTTCACTGCAGTCTCACGAAAATATGTCCAGATAACAGATCTGTAAAAGGTATGTAGAACCGAAAAAAACTCAAGGGCAGTAGAAAGCCATTTTCTTACGACATACAATTTGCTTGGTACTTAATGTTGTACGGTATGCACAAGTACAGTCGCCTTCGTTTGCGGTATGCCAGTTTTATAAAAAAATACCTGGTATCTGCAACTTGCACTCTACCCGTTCACAAATTGGGATGCTATGGATGTTTGACTAAATTAAAAGCAATGTGTTTAACATTTAAGCCGTACAAGACGTTCAAAACATTGTCGGTTTTAAACACAAGCGAACGACCTCAACTGTACATACCATTAGGTAAATGGTGAGGCGAACATGTCAACATAACTCACGAGTACATAGCGTCGTAACAAGAATTAGAGAGAGGAGACTCTTCAAATATTTACAATGGTAACACGGAAGACGGGTCGTTAAACCTGGCGACTTTATATCTTAACTGCTGGCCTTGGCGAGCTTTAAAAAATCCTTACCAAGAAATAAGAGAGCCGGTTTCAGATTATGTTTATAATCTCGAGTTCGTTTAAAAACATGTGATAGGATAAAAGCGCGGGAAGATGTTACTAGGCAGTATTTGCAATTGCTTAATTAACTGAATTTAATTGTTTAAGTTGGTTACTACTTTTTAATTCATGTTATAAAACCATTTTGGTACTATAAATTTTACTAACAATATTTCTTATTTTCACGGCTATTACAGTCAATTGAACTCAAATTTATTTACACAGAATTAATGAATCCATGTTAGTAACAGAAGTATTTTAGACCAAACAATATTATTGAGTATTACAAATTTTTCTTCTTGGTACACAAATTTTAAATCAGTTTGAGTTTCCTTCGGCCAAATCGAAAATTATTTTATAATTAAAACTAATTAACGAACATACCTCAGCCGCAGACAACCTTGATTTAACTGCTACAATGAGCTTACGAAATGCGAACCTTGTTGCTATGGATTTAAGATGTAAAATCATCAAAGCGTGTCTAATAAATTGCCTTATTGTTTGTCGGTGTTGCTACACTCAACACACACTACATATTATGTAGTATTATTAGGTATTAAGAAAATAAATCGTTGTTAAATTAGACGTATACGTTACGAAGGATTATTAAAAACACTTACGAAGGTACATAACTTTTAACTCTTAAGGGCCTGTCCCACCAAATTGTAAATTGTCTGATAACAATCCAACGTGTGAAATATGTGATGGAAATATCGGATTTTGTTACAATGTCTGACATAGACGTTATTTTTAAGCTATCTGAGCCTCTATCAGCCAGTGGTGGGTCCCTAAGGGTTCTTATGATTTAATTGTATTGATTACTTGTATTGTAGTCGTAATTACTTAAACTGATTTAGTATCGGTGAGTCTTTTGGGACAGGGTCGCGTATTGAATTCAATGAAAGGTCATTGACCTCCGTATAGACGTATTCCATTTAAATTCTGACGTCGCCGAGGATTACTAAATGCGATAATACGACTACAAACTTCATGAAATAAAATACAAGGGACGAGTTCATAATCCGATTACTGTCAAATGTTGGAAATATGGGATCAAGGAATTACCGAACTAAATATAACATTATAAATGCGATTTAGTCAAAGAGCAAATGTGGATACAATTTAGTCTATTTTATCTTTAAAAAATCTATTAATTTAATGTAAGATTTGTATATTAAAGTATCAATTTGTCGAAAAATGTTCTATCCTAAAAAAATATTATAAATAATAGAATATAAATAATACTAATAGAACTGGCAACATTGACAAGAAAAAAAAAACCGATGTAAAATTCAACCCTAGGAAGAGGCGACGGCGCGTTCGCGCCGCGATCTGTCAACGCTTACCCGAGTAACCTTGAACCGTTCGCTTTGCACACACCAATGAATAAATAGTGAATATTTGTTTTGCGATACAACGCTAGGCTTTATACCTCACGATCATACTTAGCAATACTATTAAAACGTCTTTGATTCCTACTGTTATCCCTGATGACACAAAGATTTTTCGCGCTAATTCTTTTTGTAAATTAGTCGTGTTGTTGCCACCTGCAGCCTGAAAACTAAAGCGATTTTAACAAGTAAGAAATCCTTCGATTTACATTTTCTCTCAATGGACTACAGTCAGTCCGTTTTTTAGGTTTTTAGGAAACAAATCCTGTTATTTACGCAGGTATTTTCTGCAATACATAATTTTGAAAAGACGCGGAGTGGCTTTGACGCAAATTTTATTGTATCCTCAATCCGAGGTCGCGTTTGAAGTATTTAGGCCGCGGCATTTCGCTTTGTCGACAGACGGCTTTATTTTGATCCAGTTGCCTAATTTCGTTTTATAATATAAAAAATAAGAACGTTGACGGAAGCTGGCAACTGCTCTATTACGACATCAAAATGTATTACGAATATTAAAATGAATTTTTACAACAAAAATAGCCGTAAAACATCAAACATGTGGTGACAACTTAAGCGGCAATCCAATTTAAATCTATAAATTAAAAAATAAATTAATAGTCTAGATGGTTTACTTAGGAGTGTAATTAAAATTACGAAAACTACGATCTAGTAAATTGTGGGAAAAAACAATTGAAATTACTTTACTTAAGCGTTCAACATTCAACAATAAAGTGTTCTTAAAACTAAGAATAAATAAGGATTCGTATGCATCGAAGGAACAATCGTATTGTATGTATGCAATCATTTGAATAATCAGAATGCAAGTGCAACACAAAAGGCAGCCAAAGTACAACGAACTTTGCTTATGGCCTACGAAAATGTTATCCATCACACAAATATAACATCTAAAATAAACATGATTAAGTTTATATTGTGGTGAACAGTCACCTAGTCTATTAAGTGGCTTCGGAGCGTGAATGATATACGACAAGAGTCAACGCAAGGCACAGCTACTGCCGCCTTCAACAAATTTATGTTTCGACGATCATCAAACATAATACCGAGGTATAATAGTTATAAAAGGATATAAAAATAGGTTATTATTTTAATCAGACAATCTCACGAGGAATGTACCAGAAAATTGTGAACTAAACGATTCCTTGACAATTTGTTGTCCGAAAAAATTAGAAATAATAATAATTAAAATGTAAATGTTTATAAGAAAATCTATGTGCTTCGTCGCATTGTTATTGTCGGTATAAGATTATAAACTAACGATGTCTGTAATTTGTATTTTGACGTTTACAATCGGTGAATTATATCTACTGTGCATATTAGAATCTAATATAACTCTTACTTACAAAGCAATATTAAAAAAAATACTTTAACATTAAAGAAGGAAATAAAAAAAAAACTTAATGTATCCAATACAAATAAACGGATTTTTTTGTCTTAATAATATTACTGTGTACACCACATTCAGGTGGTTAAATATTTACTTGACAATTACAATAAGAAAGTTTGTTCGCGCGTGCGCTCACAAGAACTGTCAAAATTGTTTACATTTATACACAATCTTATTATTGCTTAATAAGTCGTTAAAAGTAGGTAGAGTGGAATTTAATTTTTTATTACTTCGGTGTAGACTTTTACCTTCTTTTATGGTAGATTTCAAAGCAATCATCTAGGTATGTAAATAATGTAATAAATGTATCAAAAATTCCTTTAAAATTCTCTGATGACAATTTAAAATTTTCATTATGTATACAGAAAAGTAAATGATATAAAAGCTTTAAAATAAAAGTGCCGCTACATACATGTTCATACTAATTTAGTGACCAACTACACTATCGACTGATAAATAGTCGTCAGTCCGCGGTGTCTCTAATAACCTACGAAAATACTAGTATTCATTATATGAATTAAATTTACATATAATTCCTGAAATCAAATGAAATATTTAATTTATTTACTATTATCTACAAACAATATTTAATTTAAGTTTTAAACTATCAAACTAAAACTCTAAGTTGCGAACAAATTTTAATTTACAAAAAGTAAAAGTCTATGAGGGTCAGGTAAGTAAAGGCAAAAGTTAAACGATAGGAAGAGTTTTCTATGGCAATGCTTGGAGTGTAAAAGAGACGCACAATCTCAGGATGCTAAGTGATGACGTCATTCTGTAGTCAACCTACCGAAAGAATAAGCAAAGCAACTGGTTATTTACAAAAAAAACCGACCCGGCGCGGGGCCGACCGCGCACGAAGACTAAAACATTTTATGAGGCTGTTTTTATCACGCACCTGCACTACGTGCATTCAAATATTTCGCATTCAACTCACCTTTTAAAGAAGTCCCGTGCGCGCGCAGGTAAAACACAATCCCACAGGTGAACGGATACTTTCGATTTAAAAATCCGAATATCTTATTAGGTGACAATGGACGTCGTGTGAAGATTCCGATGACAATCGTGCACTTGTCGTTAGCGTCGCACCCCGGGCCGGCACAAAAACCACACGACACAACGTTTGTTTATAAAATTACAAGACACTTATAAATAATTTCGGTGAACCGGACTGCGCATGTCCGTAAAACACGCGCCTTGTTTGAAATAAGGTTATGTTGTAAGTTACAGGCACCTTTAAACTTCACTTTACAACGTACACTATTCCAGTTTGCCGACAGAATCCTATTGGAACGACACAGTATTAAAGTATTATTTTTTCTTCACCGAACTTTTGGGACTAATGAAGTTACTGTCAGTTTTGTTTCTTCTAAACATCAACAAACTCGACACTATCTCACCTTCGGAGGATCCGCCGGCTCTACCTGCGTCAAGTAAAGGCCTTGTTGCGTTATAAACACTTAAAAACTCCGGAACCGGTAATAATACGATCCCCGCACGTGACACTGTCAAAATAAAATTGCCGGTAAACACTGCGAAACTCACTCGGTGAACAGGGAACGTTTCATTTATGAAGTGGCTTGAGGACTGGAGTTATAAATTAAACGAATAGAAAAGAAAATAAACGAAGAATACGAAAGATCGCCGACTGCGAAGCCGAGCGTTCAACACTCCTGCTGAGCGCTGTACTAAACGTGAGCGCGAGAGGCCGCACGACCCGCTCCGCCCCGCGTCCCGCGCCCCGCGCCGCGCACGCCCGCGCCCACAACTCCATGAAAAATACAAGTGACGCCGGGAAAAAATCTCAAGTGCATAGGGGAGGTGCAGTCCCACAGACAATATGCAAACTGTTTCTGTGTTTAGTTTGGTAGTTTTAGAGCGGGATTAAGCGGGAGGCTAGGAATTGCGTGGAGGGGCGCGCCGGGGTGCGCGGGGCTGCCGGCGACGGAAGTCATTCAATTAATTTGACAACACGTGCGTGATGCACCCTCCGGCGTCAAGGCGTAATGTTGAGAAAAAAACCTTAATCAAGTTTCATTGCTAAATTTTTGACAGCGAAAACGTATTTTTGCTTTATTGCTAAAAACTTTAACTTAAATTAACTTGTTACCATTAAATTGATAAAAAAAATGATTGGTAATAACATTTCCTAATATTTTGAATACCTCGGGCGACGGAGTGCCAAATACCTTGGCTAAAAATGAAATTGTGACATATGTACGTATTATTTAGCTTATTAGAGAAATTCTTATAAGAGATATTATATAATTTCCAAAACAAATAACTTAAGTTCGTTTCTACAGAGATTTTTTGACTAACCCCAATCGAGCTTGAAGATGGCTACCGTAAGTTTTATAATGCTCTTTGTTCTAACAAAGCTGGATAGCTTTCGAAGACTTTCACTCGATACCAAAAGCTTTTTTAATAAATCTGGTTTTGTATCATAACCAACAAGTTCGGTGTGTCGCATACAGCGAGAATTGTTAGCAGTTATTGCACCAAATCTGTGCATTTGAGCAAAGGAATTTAATTTTAGCATATTTCAAAGTTGCAGAGAAACAGCACGTTCAGTATCCTCATTTTAGTTTTGAAAACAATTTTCATTTTGATAACCATTCTTTAAAAATGTCCTTGAGTAATGTATTTAACGATATCTTTGTTGTTGTCTGTCTTCTTATTGCTTTTACGCGATAGAAATAACGTTATGTCATTGTACATGTTTAAAGGCAATGAAAACGCAATACCAGAATGATTCAATTTTCGATCTTCGATATCTTAGCACTGATAGACATAAAACCTTTATCGTGTAAAGTTAAAAATATTCTCTGCTAGTTGAATTTCTTCGTTGGTGATGAATAAAACATATGATTGTAGGAACGGAACAGCGTAGGCAGCCATCAGTCTTGCGTTGTTCCCCATTAGTTTTATTTCCCTGAAGATACGTTTATTTTATTTGTGGCTTTTATTGTAGCACTTTTTTAGCTGAGCTTTTGTTTCGTATTTGGTAATAGTAGTTTGAGAAAATGTAATATCAAATTGCAAGAATTTTGGCTTTCAACACATTTTTTTTATTATATAATATTTTGTAAAAGTTATGATTATAGTTCGGAAAGCAAACCCGTCTTCGTTTAATATAGATTCAAAATCTGATCGAATCTGAATGATTAATAAACCCAGGTATTTATCATTACAGCCGCTCTACGCAATCACACAAAGCGGTTAAATTCTCCATTAATAATGCAATACTACTATTAAAGTAATGGACCTTCTTGATTATTGAAATCTTTTAAATAACAACTATTTTCCTAACGAATGACTCTACTATTCATCTTACATGGAAGAGAGTATTTTGTAAGTAAAAAACACAAATTGCAATGACTAGTGTTTTGTTTAGTAAGCGAGACTACGTTCTTCTATTCTCTATTTTTGTATTTACTACTTCGTATGTTCTTTTCCTAAAAAAAAAATATTCATAACACTACTTTGTTACAGAATCGGCTGTCTTTTCGGAGGCAAATATATATTTAGCAATCTACTTTTGCTTTCTCTTATAACATTGTTAGTAGCAAGCAGTAGTACACAAACAGTTTACATAAGCAATAATTCTCAAAAAATCTTTTTTAAAACTCGTAGTAAAATAACAGCAGGACGAGCTGGAAGATTAAAAATCGAGCGGCGCCCAGACACAATGAAAATGTTTCACTCAGCCTGTGCAGTCACGAGCCGTGTTTGTGAAACAAAGTTCGCATTTTTACCGTGTAGTGTACGATTCACCGTCGGCTTTCCACATCAAATACGGTGCCATGAATTAATCACTCCAGTTTCTAGTTCAGTCAAGCAACGACATTTATATTATAAGAGAATATGATACAGTACGTTTGTGTAGCCAAATAATGAAACTTATTTCAATATGAAATCTTCTGCTGTTTTAACAGTGGTAGAGCCCGCTTCAGCATCTTTGCACAAATGGGCCGACTCGCCTGGTGCAATTCCACGACCACACAGAAGACAGATATGAAGTAGAAGCAATTCCGCGTTTCGGCTGATGTTTGTGGTACTCCGGTACCTCATTTTAGTCCCTTTCCCTCTTGACCCTTTAAGAGGAAGGGACGGGAAGGAATATGGATTTGCCGGTAGAGGAGACGAATAGGAAGGGGAAATATCCTCTTTATATGCGTCTCCTCCCCCGTCGATTAAGGGTAGGCTACGTATCTGCAACTGAGAATGGCTATAGGCAGTGGCCGCTTCGCCATTCGGCGGTTTTTAATAGCCGCTTGCTTGTTTGCGACCTTATAATATAAAAAAATCTTAGTACGATGCGGTGAAGGTAATTAGTTGGTCGTTACGAAAAATGTCCATATGAAGAATAATAGGTTATTCTAAACAATCATTTTAAATTCTTTTTAATTTTTTGTTAAATTACAATATATCAATACAAAAAAGGACATAACAAAAAGTTAAAAAAAAAAACACGCAATGAATATCTCGCACTCCGTTACTTGATTAATGAGGCACAGAGATCGAGTCGTACGTAAATTGGTACTCTGACACCTATAAAATATTTAGTGGGTGTTACTTGTTGCCATAAATCGATGCTATTTTATTACGTGATATAAAATTCCTTTGATATTTTTAAGTTAAATTGTAGCTCCTATTAATTTTCTTTAGGACTTTTGTCTCTTATTGCAGGTTTAAGCTTTTAATTTTTTTTTATAATCAAGACCAACACCCAGTTCGGATCGTTGCGCGCGCGCAGTATTTGAAGTAAGCAATCATTATGAATGACAATCGAGTTACATTCATGCAAAACCTACTAGTTACCTGGACCCTAGAATGCTAGAGTAATGAGTGTTTATTTATTTCCGTGCCGTTTCTAATAAAATTTACATCTTTTTACCAATTTCGTAAGAGTCACACACAAAAAATGTGAAAATTTTGCACGGCTAAACTCGCTTGCCCAATCCAAACAACTCATGCATTATTCATTACTTTGTATGTAAATGGCACGAAAACGCTTGTTTTAAACTTATTTTCATAAAGTAAATTGAGTAGAAAAGTAGTTTATAATTGCACTACAGTTTTGATAGAAATAATTATTTCTTAACGTAATAAAACTAGTGATGTTACCACAGCAGCTACTTAAGCCAGGGTATTTCACTCATTGTACAAAACTTAAAAGATTAAGTTGTTAATAGGTTTGTTTTATTTTACAACAAGCTCGCAATTTCGTCAGATAAATTACCTTTCTAAAGGTGAAAGAATTTTTTAAATCGGCCCAGTAGTTTTTTAGTTATTTCAATACATACAAATATACAAATCATTTTTCGCAATAATTATATAGATTACTCTTTTTAATTGCTATAAATATTTAAAAAATTAAAATACCTAGTACTGTTGAACATTTTATAACAACGAAGGTTTAAATTTAATATATTCTACTATTACAATACAAATGTGTAAAATATGAACTCGATATGTGAATACGTCGCCGACGCCGTCGCCGGTCACATTTAGTTCAACTCTTCTGCATTAACTCACATGAATAAAATATACCGCTATTCTAAACGAAACCTTGACATCGCCCTGAAAACTGAATCAAATATCATTCTTTTTGTTCCGAGTCATGTACATTATTATTTAAAATTTTCATATCATATAAAATGGAATAACTAATCCTGATTGAAATGTAGATAAAAAACTCGTGTCTCCCATTTCATAAATGTATGTTAAGAAACTATAAAACAACAAGATCTCGCCCGTGACTCCGTCCGCGTGGAATTAATAGAAACAAAAGCGTGTAGCTCATGTATTCTTCCAGACTATCCACTAGGTCTGTGGCAAATTTCATCGAGATCCGTTTAACCGTTCGGGTTACAAACTCTAACATCCATCCTTCTAAACTTTCGCATTTATAATATTAATAAGATAAGATTAGTAAGAAGTAAGATTACTTCGCTGAGTTGCTAGGCGATACATTATTCTTTGGTAACTCTACACTTTTGCAAGAGTTTGCATAGGATATATTCAGGGCTTCTTTTGTAAAGCAACTATTCTCGATAAGTTTTAAAGGACTAATACTTATTAGAAAGCAAGAGCTATTTGTTGACAAACTGAAAAAGTGTTTAAATAATTTTCTTTTGTAGAAAGTTTTTAAAGTGATTTATTATAAAAATACAAGAACATTTACAACGTTAGTTTTATTTAGCGCCACTCTTCTGAATGAATGTGGATGAATAAAACATGCGTTGTTCTTAAAGCTGAGCGCTCACTCGCCCCGCACCCCGCAACCTACACTCCGCACTCCGCACTCCGCACCCCGCACCCCTCACACTTCGCTATCAGAATAAAATACATGTGCTTTAGACCTGTGTATTAAATTAATTTATGTTGCATTTCAAATTATTGGAAATTAAAAAGTAACTCGAACACCCTTGAAAAGGACAGACACAAACATTTAAGGTGTCGCACTATGTTAAAATGGAGTTATCATTAAGACGGTAAATGGCCAATTCCTTGTGCTGTCGACCTAACAAGGCCATGATAGTACAAAGAATGAGTCAGTTAACTTAACTTTGCCTAAACTGTAGAAGTAAAAAACAATCTGGACGTTTTCTAGTAATAAAAAAGCGAATTTATGTAAATACTTAAGAGTGAATATCAGGTATCGATTACGTAGTTAGATGAAG